CTTACTAATGAATTATCGAACTTATTAATGATTTACTGAACTTACTAATGAATTATCGAACTTATTAATGATTTACTGAACTGACTAATGAATTATCGAACTTATTAATGATTTACTGAACTTATTAATGAATTACTCAGCGGTTGAATCACTCACAGCAGTTCGTCCGCGTCCATGTTGCAGACCATGTCGATAGCTCCCAGCAGGCAGTTTACGAGGTCCTGCTGAGTGAGCAGCACCACTCCAACGACCAGGCCGCTGTCGCCGAAGGAGACTGTGCATGGCGTCCAGAGACACCTGCAGGCGGATAGAGTGTATTAACTCACGCGCGCGGTACGTGCTTCGTGTTAGGCCTGGCGTGCTGAACAATGCGCACTAGAGAAAGATAAGAGATGCCCGCAAATCGCTCAGTTTTCGATTGGCATGCCAATGCTAATAAATCTCCAGTCGGGACTACCTATACTACACCAAACCAGTGCCTGACGTGCAAAGCCCACAACAGCTCATTCCGATTGAGAGAATTAGGATGCGTGACATTCCGCTCTTACAAAACACACTACAACACAGAAAAGAAACCGGCGCACGCATGCGCAAGCACACACACTCTCATGCATGCATGCGCGCGCACACAGCACATACGCAACGGTCATGCAAGCGCATGCGAACGCGAACGGCACACGATACCCTCACTGCACGCGGCACGACGGGGCACACACACACCAGACACACACGACAGGAGCAGCACGCGCACACATGCGCGTACGCCAAACGGCACACGCAGCTCACGCTGCTTGCAGGGTTGAGGTCCGCAGCTCTAGCTGAGGCACACAGCGCGCTCGCACACACCCGGCGTCATGCGCACGGCACAGCCACGCACGGACAGCGCCACGGCACACACTCACGGCTGCTTCAGGGTGAGGTCGCCGTAGCTGCTAGCTTTGCGCACACCAGCGGCTCAACAGCACACCCTACGCACACACGCATCGCACCACGCACCCGACGCCCGCACTCACTCAGCCTGCTTCGGTGAGGTCCCCTAGGCTCTAGGCTGCGCACACCAGCGGCGCGGTCGCACACACCCACCGGCACGGGACACGCCACGCACGCAGCGCACGCACGCACGGCAGCGCAGCACGCACACACTCACCTGCTTCAGGGTGAGGTCCCCCAGCTCTAGCTGCGCACACAGCGCGCTCCACACACCACGCACACACGCACGCACGCACGCACGCTCGGGACACACTCACTACTGGCGGCTTTCAGGGTGAGGTCGCCCTAGCTCTAGGCTGAGCACCGACAGCAGGCTCGGCACAGCCCGCGCCGACGCACGCACGGCACGCACGCACGCACGCACGCACGGACACTGCAGCTGCTTACAGGGTGAGGTCGCCTAGCTCTAGCTGAGCACACAGCGCGCTCGCCACCACCCCATCGCACATACGCACGCAGGCAGCGCACACACTCCACGGCTCCTGTTGCAGGCGTGAGGTCGCCGCCAGCTCTAGACTGAGCACACAGCGGCGCTCCACAACGACCCACGCACGCACGCACGCCGCACGCACGCACGCACGCACGGCTGCTTCAGGGGTGAGGTGCCCCAGCTCTAGCTGAGGGCACACAGCGCGCATCCCAGCCACACGCACGCACAGCACGCACGCACGCACCGCACGCACGCAGCGAGCCCCAGCGCACGGCTACGCAGCAGCACGCACAGCACTCACGCTGCTTCAGGGTGAGGTCCCTAGCTCTAGCTGCGCCCCAGGCGGCGCTCCCCACACGCCACGCACACACGCACGCACAGCAGCGCACGCAACGCACGCGGCACGCTACGGGCCAGCGCACGCACGCACACACTCACCTGCTTCAGGGTGAGGTCCCCCAGCTCTAGCTGCGCACACAGCCACCTCGCACACACCTGTCCCCACCCACGGCACAAGCGCACGCCGCGCGCCGCACACACGTCACCTGCTTTCAGGGTGAGGTCCCCCTAGCTCTAGCTGAGCACGACCACGCACGCTCGCACACACCCCGCACTGCACGCAGTTCGCCACAGCAACGCAGCGGCAGCAGCACGCACACACTGCACCTGCTTGCAGGGTGAGGTCCCCTAAGCTCTAGCTGAGAGCACAGCGCGCTCGCCACACTCCACGCACATACGCACGCAGCACTGCACACACTCACGCCTGCTTCCAGGGTGAGGTCCCCGCTAGCTCTAGCTGAGCAGCACAGGCGCGCTCCAAAAACACACGCCCGCCACACACACCACACACACACACATACACACACATACGCACAGACCAGCAACCGACACACACGGACGAGAGTTGCACGCACAGCACATGCACACACAGCCGCACTGCACCTGGCTTCACGGGTGAGGTCGGGCCGTAGCTGCTATGCTCGAGCACACAGCGGCTCCACAGCACCCTACGCACATACGCCACGCACTGCAGCACACACTCACGCTCTGCTTCAGGTTTGTGAGGTGCCCGCTAGCTCTAGCTGAGCAGCACAGCGCGGCTCGCCCACACACAGGCCCACGCACACTACGCACTGCACGCACGCACAGCACTCAGCCTGCTTCAGGGTGAGGTCCGCCTAGCTCTAGCTGCGGCACGACAGCCGCAGCTCCAAGCACACCCACGCACACACGCACAGCGACGCACGCACGCACGGCACACCTGCTTCAGGGTGAGGTCGCCCAGTGCTCTAGCTGAGCAGCAACAGGCGCATCCAGCACACCCACAGCACGCACAGCACGCACGCACGCACGCACCGCACGCACGCACGCACGGCACACACTCACACTGCTTCAAGGGTGAGGTCCCCCAGCTCTAGCTGCGGGCACCCCCCGGCAGCGCGCTCCACACACTCACGCACGGCAACGGCACGCCGCGCACGCAAGCGCCAGCGCGACACAGCGCACGGGCCAACACTCACCTGCTTCAGGGGGTGGAGGTCCCGCGCGTAGCTCTAGCTGAGCAAACAGCGCGCTGCCGCAGCACCACAGCAGCACACGGCACGCCACAGACACTCAACGGCTGCTTTGCAGGGTGAGGTCGCGCGCTGCTCTAGCTGGCGCACAAACGCACGGCAACCTACACCCCAGCACATACTTGGGCACGCGACGCACGCCACACACTCACCCTGCTTCAGGTGAGGGTCCCTAGCTCTGCTGAGCACACAGCGCGCCGTCCACACAGCCCACGCAACACACGCACGCAAACGCGACGGCACACACTCACTGCTGCTTCAGGGTGAGCGTCGCCCTAGCTCTAGGCTGGCGCACACAGCCGCGCGCACACACCACGGCACGACACGCACCACGCACGCGACGGGCACGCAGCTACACTGCTTCAGGGTGAGGTCGCCGCGCGCCCAGCTCAAGCTGCGCACACTAGCGGCGCTTCCACACAACCCAGCGCCGCGACGCCGGTCAAGGGG